GTTCCTTGTTTCGTGTTTGGGATCAAGCCTTTTTGATCCGCCTCTCTTCTTCTTTTTGTTGCCGTGCTGTAGTTTCGTTTGTGGTTATTTTTCCAGGTCTGCTGTTCTTTTGACGTTTTTGGTTTTATTATTAAATTTCACCTTCATCAAAAAAATGCTTTCCCTTTTTTATTGCTCGAAGCATATTCTTCAGACTCGTTCATTCACAGGGATAGACCGTAGACGGAGCTATTCAAAATGCAAGTAGAGTTTGGTTGGCTGGTTTACTGTAGAGCTATAGTACCCAACATTCTTTACTCTATGAAAGTAAGTAAAACGACGGTTGACGGCTGTCGATTGTTTCAGGGGAAAAAAAGAACGACGGCTGAGATATGATGCATTGACGACAAGTAGGGGTGTTCAAATGGTTACCATGGTTATAACCAAACCAAATAAGGCTAAATTCCATTAACCATGGAATACAATATCATAACCAAACCGTCCAAACTAATACAACAACCGAATTAACCAAACTAAAGTTTAATCGGTTTGGTTAATTGGTTAACCACATTAACCAATATAAAATCACATTATCATTGACGATGAAAATTTTCCGGTTAATGCAACAATTCGCAATTTATATAATGAATAAAATATAACAATCAACACGTAGTTATAGTTGACCCTTAACAAAAATACATGCAACTAATTGTACGATTAGTATAGAAGTATTCATCTAACAAAAATTTATGACAATGGTATGGGTTAATGAATTGTTGTGTTTGTGTAAATTGACTTAGTCTCTTAGCAATTATCATAGGCTGGAAATGACATTCCTTTCAAGTTTTCATCCATCATAATGTATGAAATTTATCTAAATTAGGCGTCCATATTGTGGTCTACATTTTACATATACAAATGCTCAAGCTTTATATTTTATGAGTCTAAAAGGGATAAACGTTAACTCTTGAGTGGTTATGCAAAGTATTAAGTATGTGTATATATTATATGTTAGATATATGACTAATTACTTAACTGGTTAATTTGGTTTGACTGGTTAGGAGTGTCGGAAACCAAACCAAACCACCTAAACCAAACAAGCTAAAAACTTTAACCAAACCAAATAATACTGATTAAAATGGTTACCATGGTAACCAAACCATTTCAACACCCCTAACTACAAGTGCAAAACATGACTGAAAGTGGGAAGGAAATTGCGCCTTTATTAGTTTCTCAACACGAATTGCGCTTCATACAAAATAAAGACGGACAGAAAGATACAATCATGGGAGAGAAATGAACAACATAAATTAGGAAAGGACACTAGAAATCATTTGCTTGCTCTAGTCTAGACAGGCACACTTGTCTGCATAGGCTGCTGCTGCTGCTGCTACTGATCACATCTAAAAAAGCCACACACCGAGTACTTAAATTTCTTCTCTTCAAGTACTACATCCGACTCAAATTAACTCCAGTTCCCGCTACGTCAGTGACCGTTGATGATCGAGCCATTAGCAGCAGGAGCGCCATCGGCTGCCTTCTGTGAGTAGAATCTTCGATACATCGAGTCGACTTCAGTGAGGTAGTATGTTCCTGGGGCCAAGCAGCTTGTGTCCTTGCTTGTCACAAAGTCCTTCCCTCCATACCTGTGCTCCATTAGCTTCAGGGTTTCCACAAACTTCTCTGGTGCAACCTGCACGGGGAACAAAAACACATGCAATGAGAACCGATGAATCTTGAAAAGAAGGCAAAGGCTAATCTGCTTTTCTAAGAAAGAGGTGTTAAAGCCTTGAAGTTAAGGTTCTGGAAGTGGTTTGTTTGATAGAGATTAGACTTCCCTTTCAGGGAAGCAATATCCCCAAGTTTCTTCATCATTTATCTTCTTGTGTATCATAAAGAATCGAGAAGGGAAGTGGAGGTTTCTTTTAAGCATTGTGCCAAGTTCAAAGTAGTAGTGGAAGTTACCTCAATCCTTGACTTCAATTTTTCATCGACACTCATCACTGAAGCAATGTTGGACAAGCTAAAAGGATATTGTCCTTCCTGTAACTTTAAGGAGAACATTGTGGCCGTTAAACCACTTCCATATGAGAACATTATAATCCGTTTGCCCGCCTGTCATAAGAATCCACAAAAGAACATATGTCAACAGATTTGACATATTATTTCACCAAGTTGTTGGAACATTTTCACTGTATGGGGGGAGGGGGAATACCAGTTCACTGTTCTTGTTGTGCAGAAGGGACACAAAAGCAGCATAAATTGACGCAGTGTACATGTTCCCGACTTGTTTTGGTATCAATGTGGTTGGCTGCACTTTTGAGTCATAAAGCGGCTTGGCAACTTGTTGAGCCACCTGCAAAAATGGCAATCATTAGGTATAAATTGGTTGGCAGTTAACGTAGCATGTCATCATCGATAGACTTAAACTATAAGGACGCCAACTTGTGTGCTGTGGAGCAGTTGATTCAGCAATTTCTAGTCTTGTGAGAAAGATTTTGTTCTGCGACCATTGAGGTTGGCTGGCTAACCTTTTCAAGATCCCGACTTTGGTAGCTCTCATCGCCAGATAAACTTGAAAATGGTGCGAACTTCTCTTTAGCAGCCTCATCAATGGAGCTAGAAAGAGACGTGAATCACAATTGTTTAGTCAATAGAAAAATTATAATCAACTAATAGAGTCCAAGTAAAGCAAAATACAAGAAATATTCAGAAGACAGAAGCCAAAGAACCTAACCTTGCACCCCTGGTGAAGTCATCAAAGACCAAACGGGCAAAGCTCTTCTGTACAAGCTGCAGCAGAGTATTTATTTGAAAAACGTTAACAAGCTGGACAAAAGGGGAAAAAGGAAAAGGTAACTCAAAGTAAAGTTCAGGATACACAACCTACCTTGTTGTAAGGTGAATGAAAAACAATATAGTCAGCATCAGAAATAGAAAATTGCTTTCCTTCAAACTTTTCATACCTACAGAAACAGGACGCCAGGCACGTCAAAGAACTAACTCTCAACAATTCAATACTAAAACCTCAAAAACCAAAAGAGACATACTTGGCACAATAATGCTTGTAGCAGGCATCAAGAGCCATGAGGTAGCACGTTTGAGAAAGCTTGCCATCTACAACCTACAACCACATCAGCAACATTTGGCTACAAGTATTAGATGAATTCCACCACCTGCATATAAAGATATTTTAGACATGCTGTTGCTTCTCAGAAAGTTCAGTTCTTTTGCTGAGATGCACTCAGGATTATGCTCTTCCAATGCCAATGTTAGTAGTGTCCCACTCACAGAAAAGGCCTAAAAAGAAATCGATATGTCTAAGCTCTAGAAAAATGTAGGAGGGTAGTTAGAAGAATCACCGGATACTCGCTTGCAAGGTTCGGTTTGTAAAAGTCGTAGGCATGCGCCATATGGCTCCCCCTATATTTGCTTTCAAAAGCAATAGGTGCATCTGGGCCGATTAGCATGACAATTGCTGCAGCTCCTCCAGTAGGCCTGGCTGGTCCTTCAGCATAGACCTGATGAACACACAAAGACACCTCCAGTAAGTATTAAGTAATCAAATATTGGCATCTGACCATACATGAACAGAATCAATGGAGAAAAGAACCATACCGCACTATCAGTACACACAACAAGCCCATATCGACCGTCCCACGAACTGCTTTCAACCCAGTTTACACAGTTGAACAGAGCTGCAGTTCCTCCATAGCAAGCATTGGTCGAGTCCACACCTTCAATGTCGGTGTTTCCACATTTCTGTTTGTTCCAGAACAAAGAAAAGGCAGAACACGAATCAATAACATGCCTAATAAATGGAATAGACCATGAAAAGCTGCCATCAGGACAAATCCACAAAACCAAATCTCAAGTACCACTAACATCGAACTTAAGCTTGAATGAATTCAGCGAGTACATCCCTAAATCTAACATCCAATCAAACAACTCCACCTACCAGTACTAAGCTCCAATGGCTGCATGCAACATCCAATATCTGCTAATAATTCCTCATCTAAATAGCCATGGATAGTTCCTGCTTTTGAACAGAATGGATGAGCATTCATTTATGTACACACAAGAAAATAACACTGCTTTAAGCTATAAGAGGACAACCCAAAACCAAAAAAAGGAATACAAACAAAAGAATAGGAGAGGAAAGTGGGAAAAGCACCTCAAAGATCTGCATCAAGAAAGTCTTGATCGATTTGCTTTATCAATCACAGTCTCACTCCCAACTTCAAGGCGACCAACTTGCTTGGGATCAACACCATACTTCTCCAGGAGTGAATTAACGGCAGTCAAGCTGCAGTTCATTAGAGAATCGATTAAAAGGGGAGCCAAACAAGGAGAAGCCGAAAAACGTAAAAGCGACACAATGAAATACACAATCAAACCTCATGGAGATGACGTCTTCCACATCAGTACAAAATGCCATACAATCCTGGCCAAGCCCAATTGTGTACTTCCCTTTGCTTGCTCCATCATGAAACTCCAGCGCTTCCTGTTTGGCACCAACCAAATTTATCAGAAAATAATGACCAAGCAAATTGACAAGGACTGATAAAAGGAGAGAGACATGTAGATTTCATCCCAACTTCGTAAACATCGAAACAGGGTCCATAAAGGGGGGTTTTTTTTTTAATCCGAAGAAAACCACCAAACTCAATCGTTGTCACACAGCAATTAAGACTCCGAAATCATCAGTTCAGAGAAAACCGCCGATTCACTGCAATCGCAGAGTCAAGGGAGGGGAAAGATGGAAAAGGCTTTCCCACGGTAACAGAGTAGGCGAAGTTTGCCAGTTCGCCGGCGGGAGAGAAAGAGAGGAGAGAGATCGAGAAGAAACTCACCTGTTGAACACAGGTAGGAGGGAAGTAGATTTCCATGGCCAAAATTCCTACATTCTTCACCATTTTTCCAGGAGCGTGATTTTTTCCCAACTTGGTCGGAGGCAGACGGGAATCGAAAAGGGAGAGGAGAGTGGCCGACGATGGAGAAGGGTCACACAAAGATGGTGGCTGGTGGTTGTTGATTGTGAGTGGGAGTGTTAGAAGGCCGTTGAGAGAAGAAGCCTTTATATAGAAAAACGAGGTGGGCAGAAATCAGAATTTTCCTTCCGCTTCTTTCCGTTTTGCCTGAACTTATTACATCACATGCCAAGATTGTTCAATTTTTGGGTTGGACCGCGGTCCTTTTGGGTTGGCCATTGTTGATGAGCTCAACCGAGCTGATTATTGTTAGTGAACCGATAACCATCCTTTAACACAAAGAACGTCATAGTGATTTTTTTTTTTTTTGGTCATGAACGTCATAGTGATTTTATTTGTTATTATGAAATCTAATTTACCTTAAAATCACTTTAATTTTTTTATAATTGGATGCAAAGAGCATAAGTATTCCACCAAAAAAAAAAAAAAGAGCATAAGTATCTTTTAATTATAACCAAACTAGATTCGTTTAAAGACACCTTTATTGAGATTATATTATCTCGACATCATTTTTAGTAATATACTTTTGGCACGTACTAGTCTATGAGGCATTTCTATTGTAAAAGTAAAAAGGCACATTGATCATCAGTTATAATTTGATGTTTTTTACTTTTTTTTATCATTCAAAATTGATGCAGGACCCATACAAGAGTTGGGAAAGGTGGGATTAATTACAACTATAACTAATATTATTGAAATCTATGATTGCACGGGTAGAGAGAGAGGGTAGAGAGAGAGTGAGCGTTCTGGTACACTAGGGTTTCGTTTTCATCGTCGCCTGTGGCGAGCTCCGGCACCTGCGCCGGAGCAGCTTCCGTTCCCCCTCTCTTTCTTTTCTTATGAGTGGAGAGAGAGTTGCTGATCCTTCTCCCGCATCAGAGGCATCGAGCGGCGATGTTCGGGGCATTCCGACGAAGCCCTGGGCATCGCTGTTCGGCATCTCAGAAGCGAATCGCCTGAAGTATATCCCTCCGGAAGTGGTGAACGGAGGACTAAGAATGCCTAAGGAGGTTCGTGAAGCGGGGGCAGCTCGTTGGAAGAATTGCTTGGTTGGGCAATTTCTACAGGATCCGCCATCGCTCTATGTCCTGAGGCGCTGGGTCAACAAACTGTGGGGCAGAGACGGTTTGGTTAGGGTCTCTCTTCTTTATGACAAGATGTTGCTGATTCAACTCCCAAATCAACAGGTGTGCGACTGGATTTTGGAAAATGGTCCTTGGTTCTGGTTCAACAACCTGCTCTACCTTCGACCATGGGTACCGGGGATAAGTGTTGAAGATCTGGGGAGAAAAGCCCTCCCAATTTGGGTTCATCTGTCGAATGTGCCGCTTGAGTACAACGATTTTCAGGGGCTGAGTCGTATTGCTAGTTGGGTAGGAGTTCCACTGGGAGTAGATCACACAACTCGAATGGGAAATCGCCATGGGTTTGCTAAGGTCCTTGTTGAATTAACTGTGGAGAGTGCTTGTCCTGATCACGTTCTGCTGTGGCCAGACGATGATGCGTCAATTAAGATTGGTGTCTCTTATTGTAATTTGCCTCCCGTTTGTTCGGTTTGCAAGATTTTTGGTGTTACAGGGGCGTGTGTTGCTCATCACGGGAAACAATGGGTACCAGTGGTAGCTCCTGAGACTCGTTCATTGATTCCAGCTGGTGTGGCAGAGGTGACGCAGGAGAATAAGATTGCTACGCCAGAGAGTGCAAAGGGCAAGGAGCTACAGGCAAGTCTTGATCCACAGCTGGAGGCCATTTTTGCGAGCCCTGCGATTGAAGGGAGTGGGATTGCTCCACAAAATTTGGAGAAATCATTTGCAGCTGTGGCTGGAACAGCCTCCCCGAAATTGCCTTCTGAAGATGAGTTCCAACGGGTTGTGAATGGTGCAAAACCGAGAGTATGGAAGCCAGATAAAGCAGGGGGTACGATCTTAACCTCTCCATCAACCTTCACTGTGCTCAGTCAGTTGGGTGATAAAGAATCAGGTAAAATTATGGAAGCCCCAAAGAAAAAAGATGTGAAGAGGGATCAGTGGAAAGGAGGTGGGGGGAAACCCTCAACTTCTCGATGATTGTCTTATTTTGGAATGTGAGGGGGTTTAATAAAACCCCCAAGCAGAAGGACTTGATGCAGGTCCTTCATCGAAACAAAGTAGATGTGGTTGCAGTGCTGGAGACAAGAATAAGAGCAGAGAAGGCTAAAGATGCTGTTGAGGAAGTTTTTGCTGGATGGGAGAGATGTATAGACTGTGTTGATTCTAGTTTAGGAAGAGTTTGGTTATTCTGGGTTCCTGAGGTCAGGGTTCATGTGATTAAGCCGGGGAAAAACTTTGTGCACTGTGTGGTGGAGGATGTAAACAAGGATAGGGTCTTTCTGACGGCAGTGTATGCATCGAATGATGAGGCAGAGAGACAGATAACATACAAAGAGATTGCTAAGTATAAGGTAGTGGGTCATCCATGGATTATTGGGGGTGATTTCAACACAGTTAGAGGGCCTGAGGAAACGTCAAATCAGAAGCACCTAACTAGCAGCATGAACGATTTTAATGCGTGGATTGGGGACATGGAACTGCTGGATCACAGAACAGTGGGGCCGCAATTTACTTGGACTAACAGGCAAGTTAGTAACCCTATTGCTAGGAAGTTAGATAGAGCGTTGGTCAATCTGGATTGGATTGACAAGTTTCAGAACTGTGTAGTTGAGGTGATTCCAGGCAGCTTCTCTGATCACTGTGGGATACAGGTCTGCACAGTAGCTCCAATCAAAACTATGCCCAAACCGTTTAAGTATTTTGAGTTCTGGTCAGAACATCCCAAGTTTATGGACATTGTAGAGGAGGCTTGGCAGGTTGAAGTTGCAGGGAATCCATGGCAGGTCCTACAAAAGAAGTTGAAAGAGGTAAAACAGGCATTAAAGCGATTCAATAGGGATGTCTATGGGAATCTTCAGGATCAGGTCAAGGCAGCTACAGAGGCATATCAAAGTGCTAATGCTCATGCCTACTCTGTTCCTTCAGCAGCAAGTTTTGAGAAGGTTGTGCAGACCAAGGATCAACTTATTCAGATATCAAAAGCATATGAAAGCTTCTGCTGGCAGAAGTCAAGGGTTTCTTGGTTGACAGTGGGTGACAAATGCTCCAACTTCTTCTACCAGGCAGTAAAAATAAGGAATTCTAAAAGAGCAATAAGAAAATTGGTCAAAGAGTCAGGGGAGGAAGTCTACAAAATGGAGGAGATAGTAGAAGAAGTGCTAGGTTTCTACAAAAGGCTCCTGGGGGAAGTCAATGAAGAAATTACACCAAGTATTGAGGCTATTCAAAGGCTGGTGAGACACAAGCTCCCCCAAGAAGAATGTGCAGGTTTAATTAAGCAGGTTACTACTGAGGAGATCAAGGCTGCAGTATTTAGTATGAATGCTCAGAAGGCCCCGGGACCAGACGGATTTTCTGCTGGTTTTTTCAAGAAGACATGGGCTGTTATTGGAGAAGATGTAGTAAAGGGTATTCAGTGTTTCTTCATTACAGGTATGCTTCCTAGTGGCATAAACTCTGCTGCTGTGTCCTTGTTACCTAAAGTCACTAATGCTGATACTCTTAGAAACTTTAGACCTATTTCCTGTCTTAACATCCTATACAAGGTCATAGCTAAGATCTTAACAAATAGAATCCGTGAAGTAATGCCTTTAATCATAAGCAGCTCCCAATCTGCTTTTATTAAAGGTAGAAGCATTATGGACAACATTCTGTTAGCTCAAGAGTTAGTAAGTGGTTACAATAGAAAACATCTTTCATCTCGCTGTGCAATAAAAGTGGACATAATGAAGGCTTTTGACTCTGTGAATTGGAGATATTTATTCATTATGATGAAGACTATTGGATTCCCTGAGAAGTTTCTGTTATGGATTAGAACCTGCCTACAAACTGCCCACTACAGTTTTAACATAAATGGTAGTCTTTGTGGCTTTTTTCGAGCTAAGAAGGGAGTCAGGCAGGGTGACCCCTTGTCACCCTACCTGTTCACTATAGCCATGGAAGGTTTATCCACACTCTTGAAGGAGGCTAGTCTATCAGGAGCAGTGCCTTTTCACCCTCTGTGTAAGAAAGTTGAATTGAATCACTTATGCTTTGCGGATGATCTCCTCATATTTACTAAAGGTTCTGCTCAAGCAATTGTTCAGGTAAGGGAAGTTCTTAATCAGTTCTATAGGGTGTCAGGTCTCAAGTGTAATCCAGCTAAATGCGAAATATATTTTGGGGGAGAGTCAGTTCAGTACAAATCCAATGCGCTGGAGCTTTCAGGGTTCCAGGAAGGGGCCTTACCTGTCCGATACCTGGGGCTGCCTCTACTGGCAGGTAAGCTTTCTTCGTCAGAGATTGATAATTTGGTGGATAAAATCACAAAGCGCATTAAATCGTGGCGAGCTAAAAAGCTCACATATGCAGGGAGGCTACAACTCCTGAACTCAGTGCTTCTTAGTATAGTCCAGTTCTGGATGCAATTGTTTGTCATTCCTAAACTAGCTTTGAAACGGATTCAGAAAATCTGCTCGCAGTCTTATGGCATGGTGTTGCTGAAGGCAGGGCGAAAGTGGCTTGGGAATTTATTTCTCTGCCTAAACAGGAAGGGGGTTTAGGGGTAAAGGACTTAGGTGCATGGAATCAGGCTTGTTGCATAAGATTACTTTGGCTGTTTCTTATGAATTCTGGGACCTTGTGGGTAGCATGGATGAAAACGTATAAATGCAGGAATTTGGACTTGTGGTCAGTAAGGGTGCAAGCTAGTAGTTCATGGGCCTGGAGAAAACTGTTAAAGTTAAGGACTGTCATCTATCCCTGGATGAAGAATCAGAATGGTACTGTATACTGGGACTCGAAAGAAATGATGGTCTATTCTACTAGCAGGGTATGGGAAACCCTGAGACACAAAGCTCCCAAAGTTGCCTGGTACAGTTTGGTTTGGGGCAAGAATTGTCCCCCGCGATGTAGTCTGCTAGTCTGGTTAATTATCAAGAAGGCTATTATTACGAGAGATAAGTTGCAGAGATGGGGAAAAATTAGTGATGCAACATGCCAGCTTTGCAGCTCTTCAAATGAGAGCAGAGATC